AGCCGGGACAGGCTCCGCTCCCCCCGCCATCCAGGTTCACCTCTGGTTTCTCTCTCTTCCCCCTAGGGCTCTGGCTAAGGTTTGCTGTCGCCAGACCACCGCCGCCAGCTAAGCTGGGCACCCCAGGGACCCAGTTAGGAAGCTCAGGGGCTCCGTTACGGTTAGGGCTGAGGTGCAGCCGCAAGGTACGGCTTTCACCGGGCTCCTACCATCCCGTCTGCTTACGTTGTACTGCAGAGCCAGAAATAACGCAGGTTATCCAAGTAACAGGAACAAGGAATCTAATGACAAGAAAGCAGAAGGGAGGAAAAGCTGACCGGGAAGTATAGAAGGAAGAGACATAGATGTGGATTAAAACCCTAACTGGATCACAGGAGGCTGTTTAGCAGTTAGAACCGGTGAGTGAGGAGGTCTGAGAAATGAACACTGATGCAGAAAACATCCAGGCTGAACTGAGCTGACCTTCAGACCCCTCAAAAATTCATGCTACTTTTATTTATTAAAGCTTCTGGCTGACAGATACTCCTAATGGCTGTATGGAGAAGAAAGATCAAGAAAAGGAGTAACTTAGGGCTGAAGTTTGGCATTGTCAAAATGGCTTTTGCTGCCAGCAGCTAAGGAGTACAGGGCCAGAGGTTAAGATGCAACTATTCGGTACGGCTTTGCCTTCCCAGGAAGGAGACCGTGCACCAAATACATTGTACGAGCTGTTTTTAGCAGGTTAGTTTCTTCCTACTATATGGAGCAGAGAGTGACTCACGGAGCAGACTGATTAGTACACGATCGGGCTTTTCAACTATGAAACACCTTCATCAGCTGTTGAGGTTTTGTATCAGCATCAGAGGTTTTGTATCAATTTCTTAAATCAGGAGGCAGGGATACCTGGTATCTGGAGATGACCTGAGGTACTTGAAAACACGGAAAAGGTTACAGAAATTTTTCCCTTCACAGCTGTAAATATAAAATTTAAAAAGAACAAGCATTCATATTTCAGTCCCAAGATGTTTTCTGTCTTAGAAATCTCTTCATCCCCTGGCCACGCCAGTGTTTTGTAACTCTAAAGTAAGAACACGATTTCACCAATAGCAATGTGGAAGTATATCCCTGGTTACATGCCGTGTAGCCATGGATGCAGCATACTGCACCAGTGAAGTACATCGGGTTGGGATAAAAGTTAGAATCATTTCTGCAATGTAGTCTTGCATCTACTTCCCACCTCAGCCTTACAAGAAATCAGGTCATCACATCTCCATGGAACGTAACAAACAGGATTTAATTGGGACAAGACATCTTTTTCTGAAGCTGTAATCAGCAAGTGCCTCGGGTGCCTGGCTCAAAGTCCTCTTGTACAGGCACAGAGAGCTCCTTGGATTCAACTTGGTTTTGTGTTTGTCCTGAGGATATGGTGTAAACTGCTATACTGACATGGAAAACACCGCAACCTGATGCCTCGTCTGAACAGTTTCCACACCTTCCTTTTATTGGAGTTCCCTTTTCTGCCACATGATGTTTCTTACAGCTCTTTAGGCAGTGTGAGGATCTAAAACCCCTGAGACTGTCAGCCCTCTGTCTGCTTCTTGCCAATGGGTTGCTGCCTGTTTGGCAAGTTTCTTTCCAGATATCTGTATTTTGGAATACTAGGCTTCAAAATGACCGTATCTTGTAGGAGGAAGTTCCCGACAGTCTGAAAGGGGAGAAGCTTCTGGTGTCTTCTGAAAGAAGTCACCCCTGTGGCCTCCCTGCTACCAAAACCGAGTCACACAAAGCCAATACACCGTTTCAGGTGGCCAGACTGGGGAGGATTTGGTAGTAAGTGCATCACTGCACCTGCACTAGCAGATGCTAGAACGATGCCCTTCCTCTTTGGGAACCGTTCCTGAATTCAGTCATCATCAAACATGCTTAAAGATAGAATCAAGAATGACATTTTAAACAAAACGTGCATAAACAAGTTAGTGAGAAACAGAATAGAAAACCCAAAAAAGGTTCTAGCTACTATTGAACTCCTTTCCTAGGTCTTAAACCTAATAAATCCTGCCTCTCAGGATAGGATCTTAAAATTAGCTGGCAGGAAGGCTGGAAATGCAGTTTGTGCTTCTTCCAGCTTCTTTCCTCAGCTGTTTAGAAGGTGAATGCATCGAATGACATTTGCCTCTCTAGCTTAATGAGATAGAAATTGCCCCTTCTCCTGTTCTTATTCTTAACTCTTAAGGCATTCCACACAGACGAATGTATTCAAGACAAGAGATGTAAACAGGCTCATCACCGTTTTTATACATTCATAGAATCATAGAATGGTTAGGGTTGGAAGGGACCTCAAAGATCATCTAGTTCCAACCCCCCTGCCAGGGAAACCCTCCACTACACCAGGGTGCCCAAAGCCTCATCCAACCTGGCCTTGAACACTTTCAGGGATGGGGCATCTACAGCTTCTCTGGGCAACCTGTTCCAGTGTGTCACCACCCTCAGAGTGAAAAATTTCTTCCTTACATCTAATCAAAATCTCCCCTCTTTCAGTTTAAATCCATTGCCCCTTCTCCTGTCACTACATGGCCTACAGCTTAACATTACCATTCTATTTTTAAATAAACAAACACTCCTGACTTAGAATCTCATAATCAACAACGAGTCTTAAGACTTTTACGACATGTCATCGCTGATATAAGTAACCTTTATTGTATATACATCTTAGTGCGATCTCCGCTCTTAGTATTTCAGTAAGTCTGGTTAAAGTGCAATTTCTCTCATTTTTTCAGAACGTCAGGCATTTGCTGCAGCACAGCACGGAACATGGAATTCTCCAATTTGTATCCTCGCTTTCTTCACTGCCTGCAAGTTCCACCGATACTTTAACTGAACTCCAAAGCCATTTCTGTGTATTTAAAAACGAGGTACAGTAAAACAGGAGAAAATGGTTCAGTGACATTTTGCCTGCCAGCAGATTTCTTCTTTAGCTCAGAAAGGTAATGAGACATCACCTCTTCCTCCCAATTTCCTGCTGGTTTAGGTTCTCAGACCTCATGACAGAAAATTGTGCCATTTCACCAGTCCTTCTGTTTTCCTGAAGCAAAATGCCATCATTCAGAGCAAGTCAATTAAGTTTTTAAAAAAGAAAACAGTGATAATTATGTTTTTACTCCTAACAATGGAAAAGGTAACTATAAATTCATGAAACAGCTACAGGAAAACAATAATTGTTAACAGCAAGAAGTCCATGTGAAAGTTTCTGAGTAATTACAAAGAGGTTTTTCAACTCAAAAGGAATTGAAAAAAATAAGGTTTGTGGGAGGAGGCGGGAAATAGTGGCTGAAATGAAAAAAATGCAAGTAAACAGAAAATATAAAAGGAAGAAAAACTAGGAGACCTGAAAAAGACCCCAAAATGGCACTGCACAGAACGTTAAAAAGTGAGCAAGAGTCATGATGTGGCCAAACACCAGGTAAATGAAGTTTGCAAAAAGCATCATTTTATAGAGCAGGAAGTTATTATTTTCCCTCTTCAGGGGTCTAGTTACTACTTCAGAATAGGATTTCACTTTTGGATTGCTGTTCCTGGGAGTATTTTTGTATTTGATTTGGCTCAGCTGATCAGAACAAATGCCATCAGCTTCATAAAATAATTACAATTATTAAGACATGCCTTAAATACCCAAACATATGCATGTTTCACAAATTAAGGTACTGGATTGAACGGTGAAAGGTTTTCAAGGATTTTCAAGGACATATATTTGTCTTTGGTACTTTCAAACACCTCGTATCTGATTTTTTTTCTTTAGGCTTAAGCCAGCATTTAAAGAAGTGTATCTATCAGAAAAACTTCACACACTTTGAATACACAAAGTAATGCAAATGTTTATACACTACTCTGAAAGTTTAAGCTACCCAGAGAACTGAACTTGCAGTTTAATCTTCAAACATTGTATTTTAATACACTATACAGAATCTTACAACCAAACACAACCTTTAGTGAAAATATTTGCAGTTTAAATGGATTTAACAGCAAAACTTGAAGGTTGTTAGTTATAAAGTGACAAACTTAACTTCACGTGGTGTGTAATACATATCTTAATTTATATAGCTTTTTAATCACGTTCTTGCAGAATCTTGTAAGATATAGAATTTAAGAGCCTGCTCCAACTCTGTGCATTTTTTGGCAATGATTAGTTAAAATTTACGAATCCTTTGATTGAATTCCATAGAAATGGTGTTTCCCCCAGAAAACAGAGAAGTCTGGAATTACTTTCAGTGTCTGCTAAAACCTATTGCAGTAAACAACCAGCAAAGATGTGCACAGGCAGCTAAATTAAAAAAGGAATATAAACCCCAGTATTTACATCTGCTAACAAATACAACTTGGTTTTTAGAAAGTTCAGATAACTTACTACGAAATCACGTTTTGAAAGCACAAGCAAATGAAAACAGGTTTAGAATAACATCTTTTCTATTCTATTTACTAGAGATTTTTTTAGAGATCTGATTTATTAAGTTTACAATATTGCTTTATAATATTGTAATATTTTTGTAAGATAATATTTTTACAAGTCTATAAGACCTTGCTATTTGTCTTCTGCCACCAATGATAAAGCCAGATATTTTATAGCAGACGTAACATTCAGTTCTTCGCACGCATTCCATTTTATTAACTCAGTATCTATCAGGTTATTTTTCAAATTTCCCTAAAGTTGAATATGAAAAATGTTATTTAACTGACTGTAACATTGCTTTAAAATTGTGTTACCGTTTTTTTTTTTAAAAATAGAAAGAAGAATTAGTTTTTATTTTACATATCATCAGAGCTCATTATAATATTTTTTCAGGCAGCAGCTGTGCAGATTAAAAATATTCTTGAGCAATCTTGCGTAACTTATAAATTGCTTCTCCATCTGAGGTTGGGAGACTCCTCACATACTGTTTCGGAAAAAAAGACTAAATTAGTCACAAAGTAATACTTATATGCTATATATAAACATTAGACTATCTCAAACTTCACTGTACGTGCATATGTATGTTTGTGCATGTAATTTTTTATTAAAACTATTGGAATACTTTCCTTCAGGCCAGTGGTAAGTTTTAATGGAAGGTGATAAACATTAACTGTCTCACAATGTAATTTAGGAATATAAAGAATGATTAATAAAAAAAGGTTTAATAATCCTACAGTTAAAGTTCATGATATTAAAATTTCTAAATATTAAAAAATTTGAGGTAGCAGAGCACTTGTTGCATTTTCTGAAACGTATGAGCTTTGGAGAAAAAAAAAATCTGTGCTGTTGCATTAAGAACAGTCAAATTATTTTTATCACTTCATCAGCTGTGTTTTAAAAATGTGAAACAATGACCAAGATATTTACATCCAAACATGGGAGAAAGCTTACATGCACATATTGTGCCACGCTCACGAATACTAGACTTTACGTTTCTGTTTTAAGTGAGAAAAGCAAATCTGGAAAGGCAGTATCACACCTAAACGAAGTTATAAAAGTTATCTACCAACATAAACTGCAATCCCTAGAATGAAGTGGTGAATTAATGACTGCAGCAGACGGCATATGGCCATTAATTTGCACGGAGTAGCTCCTGCAATATTGGAACGCCTGTCACATTCACTACTGATACTGACAGCCTGTTTCTTCAGAAAAATATTTTTTGATAATTAGGCAGACAGTGTTATGACGGCAACTGAAGTCTTCCACAAGGAGAACAAAACTCGAACTACTGCAACTCAGACTATGTGGAAAGGACAGCATATCAAAACCAAATGAATGAGTAACATGAGTACACAAGCAGTTGTATGCTACATCCTCAGAACCAACAGAATCAATTTTCCTTAACAGATGTCCTTAATTTGAACTGGAAAACTGACAAAGGTCACATGATGTTAAGTGTTTATCAGAGATCTGGGTCTAAGCTTGTATTAAAAAATTTAACAACTGTTTCCACACTGCAGAGATCAGCACGGAAAACCCCCCAAGTGTTCTGATGAGGATGCTTTCCTCCTTTTCTGTGGGCACGAATTGAAGATTAAAAAAACAAACAAACCAAAAAACTTTAAAAGGCACTTCCTGTGCTCCACGGAAAGCAGGAGCACACAGCTGAATCAAGGACCTCCAAGTGGAGGAGAAGACTCACAACAATTCTGATAAATATCTTCTCTAGTTATTTAAACTTTCTAATAGTTTCAAGCAGTTGGAATTTTGTGAACAGGTATCTGACTGAAGCTCCGTGTCTGCTGTCTCTTCAAAATTCAAAGGTGATTTCTGAGGAAAGATAAGCTATTTTTGTCCACTAGGCATGAAAAGGTGTTTTGGGAAAAAGAATAAATCCCAACAACTCAACAAAAAACCTGGCTTAAGAGACAAGAGTCACTAGCTTACTCAGACAAATTAAATCCTGGACATTTAAGATGCATACACCGTCTTCTGTAGGGAAGACGGCAACTCTGCCTTTAAAGAGAAAGTTAATTTATCCACAACTTCATCTGAACAAAAAATGCTGTTGCTTGAGCTACTTTAGCAGTGAAAGGGAAGGAATAAATAGTCAACAGCATCTGATACCCCAGAGGAATTCTGCGGAGCCAAACTCAAGAAATGTTATTATTATAATTAGTTATGTTAATAACCAAGAACTGAGATCACATTTGAAAGCTGCTGCACTATGTATCATGCCAGTAAGCTTAAGTGGCATTCTGCACAAAATATGCTTAAAGATATCATTTTCTGAACTTCAGTAATGACTGTATTTGTGTGACTCTAGCCTATTTTCTTCGAATAAAAAGCATGTCATTATTATTACAAAAATTATGTCTCAATTGTTCAAACAATTAGTAATTTGTAGCTGATTTATCATTAAAATAAACAGAAGGTCTAAGTTGGAAAAAATACACTAATTTCATGCTGTTACTCAGGTTGGTAAATGCCAAAAATTTGAAACAGTTTTAAATATTCATGTAATTATTTACTTGTAAGTAGACAGTCCTGACTGCAGTTATGTAATGTACAGAAAGAAATATTTTCCTTAGCTTCTGGCTGAATAATGTTTCCAAATGCACATGCCATTACAGAAATAGAATACTTCATCTTGTTCACTAAAAGTAAAGGTAAAAAGTAAAACCAGTAAACTAAGTATAGTTGTTCTACTTAAGGACTGTACTGACCAGAAATTGTAAAAATGTACACTGCGTGATTTTAACCATCTTTAGAACACATACGTACAACAATACGCATTTAGGAAAGGCAGAAACATAAAATGTAATGCCATGAAATGCTCTGTACATGCATTTTTAGGTATGAATTTCAGAAAATACACAAAGGTATAAACGCTAGCTTTAGGAAGGTGTTCCATGGTATGCTGGTATATGCAATGCAGTAATCTTCTAAGCATGGCACAAATACTTTATAGAATATTTTCTAGAAGCTTGGAAATACTTATAACCATAGACTTTTTGTATATAATCCTACTTCAAATTGTCTGAAGGACAGCTGCTGCAACTAATTGCAGGTTTTTTCCCCCCAGGAAACAATGCACTAAAATACAGTGAGATACAGTACATAGAAAATCAAAACACAGATTACCCTCCTACCACCCCTCCATCCACAACTTACACACTTTTCCTTCTTTTTCCAACTTCTTCAAGTGGACTACGAGGTTACTTTCTGCTGCTCCAAGTAAATTTTCAGGGATCTCCTAATGGGAACACAAATATGCATTTTGTATTTGCTTAAATATCTCCCAATTATTTTTTCAATATACGGAACTCAGGTTTATTACCATGTTGCACATTCAGTTAGTTATATAATGACAACAAACTGAAGTGGGCTAATCAATTTTACATCAGATAAAATAGTAGCCTAGCAACACATTTTTGTTTACTTCACTCATTTTTTGCATTATCCATTTGTACTGTGCAAACCTTGGCCAGTGCAAAGAAGACTCTGCTCTTCTGAGCTTGGTCTGCACTGGGCTGTCAGTGTAGCTGAGCATTTTTAAAGACCAATTTAAAGACGCATTTCTCCAGATAACCGTCACTTCTGTTCCATGACAATATTTGTGTGGGTTTAAATATACTTGGACAATTAGTATCTGTAAATGAGTAAACAATTTAAAAATGTAACAGCTTCAGAAGGATGAAAGGTCTCTTAAAATATTCTCATGCTTGTTAGGTAAAAAACAGTAACATTTCTCAAAATCCCCTTCTCCAGCACTGTCTTCCTAGAGGTAAAGCCTTCATTTTGAAAATTAAAAAGTTCTTCTCCAAATAACACAGGTCTGGCAGGAAAATTCACTAGAAAACTAGCTCAATAAATTGTGAATCTTTAAAAATTTTGAAAGAGTACACTTTTATTTTTAATACAAAAGCTTTAGTAGTAGTGAAAAATTCTTGTAGTGTCAAAGGAAGTGGTTTGTGATTTACAGAAACATGTGAATGGCTGTATAATTAAAAAACTGTAGCTGTTCAGGCAGGAAAACTGCAGGAGCTAAACAGCCACAGCTAACAGTACGTCAGCACTGGAAAATGTTCAATGAGATGTAGTCATTCTTTTGGAAACAGAGGATCAGCAGAATCATGAAAAATGAGTTGTGAAGCTGTTACGGACCTGTTCACAAACCATAGCCATTGGCAACTTTGACATCTTCCTCCCAAGCAGACGCTCCATCTCTTTCATTTCTGCTGGCGAGGAGGGGTAGCCCCCACACCACGTGTACAAATGGCTGAGGTTAAGAAGCAGCGAAAAAGTAGTCTTACACCTACAACGACACATGCAAGCTACCCAACTTCTGAGCGCAATATCCACCTCTGTGAAACTGCAGCTCACCTGCACCCTCCTGCAGACTGATAAATAAGGAACTAGAAGTTTTAACCAATTTTTCAGGAGACTCCAAACACATTTTGACAAGTCGAAAATTAACAGTCATCTCACACTCTTCACTTAGAAGCAACTACTACAACTTTATTTTTGCTTGGTCCTATGAAACTCTGCTTAGGACCATCTAGATAGCGAAATAAGAAGTTTGTAAGAATCATCTGGGCCCCACTCCAATGAACTGCTCAAACAATACAATTTAAATGCACAGTCACATATGAATTCTTAACAACCAGAAATATTTTTTTTTCCCTCTTTTAAAAAGCCACCATGGTCTTCACTCAAATATTTCAACTGTTACATACAATTTTATGAACATAACCTCAATTTTCATTAGTTTCATCTAAAAACTTTTAATCAAAAATTACCTCGTATACTATCTTTACAAGCTCCGAGGATGTGTATGATTTTCCAGCATTCTTCTGCAAAACATTTAGAATTTGCTGTTCCCGTGCAATTCGGTGAGAAATGTAGCCTTGGATTCTAGCATTTGCATCACGTACTACTGGGCCATGACCTAAATTAAAACACATGTACCACAGCACTATTACTTCAATTTGGAATTAAGCATGCTACTGAATAACTGAATCATTCTTATGTAAACTCTGGTAGACTTAAAAGTCATAAGAAGGGAGTAGCACCTGTACATATCACCCTGTCAGAGTATCCTTGACGTTAAATTGTAAGACGCTCCTAGGAATGTTTTGGGGTTTTTTTTTGCATATAAATAAGCCAAAATTAAGTTTGAATGTCTGCATCGTGGTCTGAAATTGAAAAGCATTGAGATGGAAAGGAAGAATTAGGATCTGAAAAGTCCAAATGGGGAAAGGGAATACAACAGATGGAATAAGGAAAGCAAGGAAAGACTACTTTAGGCTATTGGAAAAAAAAAAGGAGTTCACTGCTGAACAGATTTGAAAGATGAGATTCAGAGTATTATATTACTTCTGTCTGCTTGTCTCACTCTCCCCAAAGGATATCGATACTGATGATTTAAACTGATACTGGATTTTGAACAGTGGCTGAGGGTACTTCGTACAGACTCATGGACTACTGTCCTGCTGTGGGGCTATTTTAGAAAACACAGAGGCGAGAGAAGTAACATCTTTAACTGTGACAGACAAATCTTCCAGGACAGATCTTCAAAACTGACTCACACACTGTACTTTATTCCCTTAAGAACATATTTTCATAAGTATGATCAAAAAAATTAATAGAGCACAAATCAGTGAGCCAATCAGAACACGTCAGGGCAGGAATAAGCAATGCACAAGGAAGGTTGTATGTGGATCATTTCATGTCTGGCAGGTTAATAAACAAAACACGAATGTTTTTTTCTGGACTTATTGTGGCAGATCAGAAATGTCCAACTTACTGAAAGGCCTGTGAATCAAATTAGAAAAAGGCTTAATTAGTAAAGCACTAACCTTTGTGGAAAAATAAAATACTGCCTCATGATACACTAAAATGACAGATGAAATGAAAATATTTTTCGAACATGAGAGTTACATGCACAGAAATTAAACCTAATGTTTTATCTATAGAGAAATTTATTCACATGAATATTTGCCACATGCTTTTTATAGTAAGTTTCCTGTTTCTTTGCCTGTATACCTCACCTGAAGTAGCACCAGCAACTTCCAGCTCTGCCAGTCTAAACTCTAAGTAATTTATAAAATGAATAGAATTCAAGCTACTTTAAAAAAAACATAACTTGCTTTTAGAAGTTATTTGGTAACATTCAAATCAGACAGTTCCTTTTGAGCTTCTCTGACTATTTTTAAAAAAATCATCATATTGTGTACTTGTACTTTTGGGTTAACTCACTAAATGTTCTTTTAGTTTTACGGCTTTTTAAATTAGAGCTTATTTTGCCTAAGGACAGAAAGCTTATAGAAAAAGAACAACTAATTTTTCATATTTTGAATATCTGTGAAGTAAAAAAGTGTCAAAGGAACCTATCCTTCAGCAAGGCAAAATATTTATGCGTATCTCAACACTCACTTCAGCAGATTTGAAATTACAAAATATACATTGAAGATTACCTTGTGTAAAGATAGTATTATAAATAAAATATATGTAACATACATAGAATTATAGAATCATAGAATGCTTAGGGTTGGAAGGGATCTCAAAGATCATTTAGTTACAACCCCCCTGCCATGGGCAGGGA